TGTGTTGACACGAGTGTCAACTTGTCAAACCCTACCCCGCCCCTCCCCCCAAATCTATGTCGGCCCGCTTGTTTTTAAAACCGACCAAATATGTTGGGATGGTCGACACAGCCTGGCTCACAATAATAATAATATTGTTATTATGAATACTTCGTTTCCCTTCCATTGTCCGTGGTTAGTGTATCTACTCCAAAATAGATTGATTTTCTCCATTCTATTCAGTTATTTTTTTTACTTGAATCTATTAATCTTTTAATACAAATCGTATTAACAAAAGACGTTTTGTTGAAATGGGGGTGTACCGGGAAACTCAACTATTTCGACTTGTACAAGCAAGCTGCCCGTTCCTACCACTTTCTGCCCCTTATTGTTGTTAACGTTTTGTTTTTTTTGGCTGGGTTTTTTTTTTACTTTGTAGTTTATTTTTTCTTTGTTGGTAGGCTACTATTATATTGGGATTTATAAGAAACTGTTTGTTTGTGTTTGCTTTCACAAAAGTGTGTAATAAGTTCCCCTGTACTGAATCATGGCTCTGTACAGAATTGAATGTTTTAAATGTAGGTGATTTTACGGCCCCATCGACACAGTTTAGATACTTTAGGAGGCGGGCTCCCACATTATACCTTTCAGAGCTAGCCCAGGCAGAGTGGGACACAACGTCCCAGTAAAAAGGCGGGGATATTAGACTTATAAGCCCAGTAATCATCTAGCTCTAACTGGCAAAATTGAAGGCAAACGAGGCAGCGGTAGGCCCAGAGCAACATACTAATACGAGGTGCCCACTACGGATGGGATCGCCCGAACCGATCGCCTCAAAAACAAACGTGTTTGTTTTCAGTTTTAGGCGATCGAGTCGGGCGATCGGCCCGATCCAGCTGTAGTAGGCACCCCGTGTAAGTGAACCTAAACAAAATGGGTAACGCGGAAAGATCAGGGAAACGTAATCTTTTTTAAAGCGCATTTCGACCAAAGGAATACAATTTTTAATGGAGAACCGTGATCGCCGATGTCAGTCGCAGATCTGGCACTGGATCAATGAATAAATCAGAACAGATCCTTCTTACTTTGCTTTACTTTACTTTTATCCGCCATTTATACCCTTTTGGGTGTCGCGGGAAGAAAGAGACGTCTCTCTGTCTGTCGCCAGCCGGAGAGCTTGGGCCAGGGGGATGCCGTGGGTGGTTAATGTTTCCCTGACTCCATATTATCTATCCAGGTCTTTCTCGGTCGCCCTCTAGCCTTGCTGCCATTGAATTCTATTTGGTAAAAGTAGAATACATATTCTTTCTCTCTAAACTAAATTACTTGATCTCAAAGCAAGGAAGAATCCAAAATGAAGGGCGGATCACGTATTCGGAAAAAAGTAGCTCTAATATTTACCCAATTTGGCGGTAAAGGTAAAGTATGACCCTCCATTTTTTTCGAACTGCTTGACCCTTGTGCAACATTCGGGGTCACCGAGGAGGTCACAACAAGGTTGCATCGATGTCTTTTTTTTTTACAGGAACGGGAAACATGGGCTATAATTTTCATGATGCATAGAGACATTAAAGGGAGGGGGAGGGGAGGTGGCGGCTGGGATATACGGTCCTACCTGCTCTAACGATCTCATTTCGAGACCCCCACTCCACCCCCCTCCACGTCCCTTTGTGTGTGTGTGTGTGTGTGTGTGTGTGTGTGTGTGTGTGTGTGTGTGTGTGTGTGTGTGTGTGTGTT